TCAGCACTGACCCTCCGACAGTGCGGCACTCCCTCAGCACTGACCGTGCGACAGTGCCCGCTCCCTCAGCACTGACCGTGCGACAGTGCCCGCTCCCTCAGCACTGACCGTGCGACAGTGCCCGCTCCCTCAGCACTGACCGTGCGACAGTGCCCGCTCCCTCAGTTGCTGAGACTGATGTGGATTATGTGCTTGTGGTTGTTGTTGAGAAGTGGATGGTGCTGGATACTGTAGAATAATGGAACAGCCTCACTTTCACTCTCTCTCCGTGTATGGTGTTATAGATTCCGGGCTGGAGGTGGTATCGAGTTTACAGAGACTGCAGCAGCTGAACCTGGCGGCCTGTGTGAAGCTCACTGATCGCTGTCTATGCAGTCTGAAAGGTCAGTCTCCAAACCCCATGGGGTTGCATGGCCTCGCGGCATCTGAGTGAGGTGGCCTTGTGGGTCACCATCAGCTGAATGCTTTACCCTGGGATTCAGGTCTACTTACATTTGGTTGGAGGGGGTGTTAATACTCAGTGCTGGTCCTAGAGAGGGCACGAGAAAGTAGCTGGGGGCACAGGAAGTTGGACAGAGGGGGCTTTTCACATTGCATGGTTTTTAGCAGGGATGCAGTGGTGACCAGCGATGGACATTGCTCAGAGCAGGATGTCAGGAGGCTGAGGGGCTGATGGGAGCACACTGGGAAAAGGGATGGTATCTGAGGGAACATAGAGAGCACATTAGTTTCACCTTATTGTCACTCTTTATCTGTGCAAGGGCAGAAACTCTGCCTCTCTGCACTGACCCCCTGTCTCTGCTCTGGATAACTCTCTCCCTCTGGGCACAGGTTCCCTATCTAGATAACTCTCTCTGTGCACTGGTTCCCTGTCCCTGTTCTGGGCCAGTCTCTAGCTGTCTTCTCCCACTGTTGAGCTGGAATCAGAATCTGAAGAATGAACCTGTCAGTGGGATATGGGTAGTGAGGCTAGAATCTCATGCAAACCAGAGAAGTACATTCCTATTTCAGCAACACCAAGCCATCCAACTTCTCAATGTGATTGAAAACTTCACATAAAGCTGTTTTCCGCTGCTCCAGGGAGATTTCATGAGATGGCAGTGTGAGGGTGAATGCACTTCCTGCAATGGGACAGCATTGCCTCCAGAAAGGGCAGCAATTCTAAAGGGATTGTTGCCAGGGATTCAGTACAGGGTCACCTACAGGGTTGTTGTCAGTGTATGGGAGGCTGAAGCTAATTTATTAACCTTTCTCTGGGAAACTGCTGCCACGGTTCAAACAGTAGTTTTTTTTGGAATTTGGAATTAATATCAGTGTTTTCTTTGTTTATTGTAATATTCACACAGTGTTTGAGTATATCGCTCAGTGTGATATTCACACAGTGTGCAGTGTTTGAGTATATCCCTCAGTTGATATTCACACAGTGTGCAGTGTTTGAGTATATCCCTCAGTGTGATATTCACATAGTGCGCAGTGTTTGAGTATATCCCTCAGTGTGATATTCACACAGTGTGCATTGTTTGAGTATATCCCTCAGTGTGATATTGACAGTGCGCAGTGTTTGAATATATCCCTCAGTGTGATATTCACAGTGCGCAGTGTTTGAGTATATCCCTCAGTGTGATATTCACACA